GCCTCATGGCCTCTCTTAGACATTCATATATACTACTTGTGAGCCTTGGTGACGCTCAAATTCTTGATCTCTTAAGAAAGTTACCTTTAAGGTAAAAATTATTCACTTAATTTTTTTATTATTTTATCATCTATTTTTAATCTTTCATATCTTATTCATATTAATTTGGATATATATATTTTTTACAACATTAAAAATATAATAAAATTATATTTTAAAAAATATTTACTTTTACTTTTTTTTTACTTGATAAAAATTTAGTAAAAAAAGCGTGATTATTTTTATAGTGTATAATTGCTTGATTGCACTTGTTTCACTTGTTTTTGTATTGTACTTCTTTTTTTCTTGTTTTTCCTATTTCTACTTTACATATTTAATTACAAGCAACTCTTAATTGAGGCTATCTTATAATTTAGATTGAGGAATAAAATTTATCTTTATAGCAGCCACTACCTATAAATAATGGATAATAGAAGTAAGAATTATCTTATTCCATACTTTCTTTGTGTGCAACCTTAATGATGATATGAGTTGTGACTTTAAAGTTCTTTTTTTTGAATAGCAAAAATACATTTCAAAATGAAAAGAAAATAAATACTAAGTGGACATCTATAAACTAGAATTCTTTTTATCATGATTATAGTAATATCATAAATTTGGTTGGTTGTATCCATCTTGATGATTAAAGATTGCTTACAACAATGAAAGGATTTACTATTTTTTGTAGATGATCTTAATGGAGGTACTTATTACTAGATACTATAATGTTTATAATTGGATAGTTCTAGATGGTAAATATATTGTGCTCCAAATACAATGAAGGTGAAAAGATATAATTTTGTGATACTTTAAATAAACTATTGTACTTAATTTAATAATGGATCATATATATATATATATATTGTTATAAGTAAAAATAAATTTTATTGTAAGAAATAATCAATATAAAATTGGTCTAAAATAGAGTTAAAAAATTCCACACTAATAGACTTAGACTATTAATTCAAAGTAAAAGTAATAAAATCCTTGAACTAAGATAGATAAGCTTAATTAAATACCAAGAATTAAAACTATGCTAGCATATTTTATTATTTGTTTTGATGTAGAGTATTTTTTTTTTTTTTTTCTATGTATCATCAAAGTATTCAAAAATAAATTTTGTTAGTGCTTTATCATCTTTTATGGTTAATTAGTTCTATTCAATGCCACTATAATCTTCTGGATGTTGCCATATTATAAATGTAGTTTATTCCAAAGACTATTTTTTGATATTAAATACCATTGCATTTTATTCAAACCAAAGTTCTCATAAGATAGTCCCTTGTAATAATATCCAAATGATATTAAACTTCTCAAATTTCTTAGGTAGAAGTTTAGAAAACAAGCATTGCCACCAACCAAATGTGAGTGAATTCACTTGAATATATAGCTTTCTTTCTAATACTTGAAGAAGAGAGCCATACCATTGTTATGTACACATTGCCTTTAGACAATCACAAAACCTATGTAAGATGATCTATAGGGTGCGAGGGTAGAATGGACATAATGCATCTATATTACAATTAATTTTTTTCTTCCAATCACTGATTGCAATTGCTTTATACTAAATACTTCATATGAAGGTTGCTTCTTTTTATGCATAATACTTATTCCAAGTGTTTTTTTTTAATTAAATTTGACATTCAAAAGAAGTTGATTTTTTTATGTAGAAGCATGAAGGTCCAATAGATTATCTAGCTTTGTTGGATTAGCTCTTATTATCTTAGTGGTAAAATCTAAGAAATAGATTTTTTCTCGCCATTGATATCGTGCATGGTCAAACCTAAGCCTATCAATTAAACCATGGAAGAAGTGAAGGTTTTTTATTTTTTATTTTTTTATTTTTGACCTTAGACCAAATTAACAATTTTTACTTGTCATGAAAAATATTGAATATCGAAGCCTATTATGTTTGTGGTTTTTAGTAGGTGTTATTTTGTAATTATGGTTTAAAACTACAATTTGACATCTTAGACTTTAGATAGCTAGTATGAGACTGTTGTGATTGTAAATAGGTCTCTTTAAATGTCGATTACACCAAGTTTCATTTCTTGATCTAATTGTGGAAAAAAACTTTATCTTATATATAAGATTAAATGCAAGATTAGATTCAATAGAAAAAAAATACAAATCCAATCATTTAGTAGTACTACTTGCTCAAAATCTAGTGTTAAGTTGACTATTATATGAATTCTAAATAATTGAAAAAATCATTTTTTAACCTAATTCTATGGTTTCAGTAATATTTTTTTATTATTATTTAATTTCTTCTTATAAAAATAGACTTCTTGAGAGTTTGGACCAATAATTATTAATTCTTTATAGTCCCCAGTTAAATAGTTCCAAGGCTTGGTGACAAGCCAAATGGATTGTTGAAACACATGACTATGCCAAAGTTCAACATTCAGAACCTCCTCAAATATAGTTGGATGTTTATATTTGAAGTGGCCTACAATCTTTTTTTTATGCTTGAATAACTCGGTTCTAGATTTTTGAATTAAAAGAACTACAATAATTTTCTTCAAGGAATCATAAGGAATCGGCTAGCCACTTTCTTTCATGTTTGAGTTGGAATCAAGAAATTTTGTATTTTAAAAAAATTTGAGGATTAGAGATCATTGGCTCACAAATAAGAATGATTTATTTTCTAAACAAAGCATTTATTGCATCGTTTAGATTTGTGAGACTTAATTCCTTAGAGTATTTGTTGTAAGTACATATGTTTCAAGCTACTCAAGTATAAGTTTTGTATTCATGTTCAATCCACAAATAATTCTTAAAAAGGCCCTTAATTTTCTTAATAATTTTTTTAGAATCTGCCTATATTCTAATAAAATTTCAAAGAATTGAAAGTAGGATTTGATTAATAATTAGTCATCTCCTAACCAAGAAGAGCTTAAATATATTCCAAAACATGAGTTTCTTTTGAATGTGATTAAGTAAAAATTCATCCAAATCAGGAACAGAAATGTCCATTTTAAACAATGTATCCAAAAGCTTTGTTATATTTCCATCTTCTATCCAAATCCATTTATAATCACATATCTAGACAAAAAGAGGACCTCTTTTTTCAACCTAATAGACTCTTGATTTGACTCAATTAATAATTAGACTAAAAAATTTACAAAATGTTTTAAGAATTTTATTTAGATTAGATATATTGGAGAATTAGTTGTTGAGTTGTAGAATTGGATAGTTTAACTCCTTTAATCAAATCCCTAAATTGGGCTTGTTTAATTTTTTCATTGAAGGCCTCTCCTACTAATAAGAAGAGATATAATGCAATAAGCTGACGATATATTGATATGATCAAAACTAATGTTGATTAGACTAGCCTCTCAATATTGCAGAATTTGCTCAGATTTTGATAATCTAGAAGTTTGATTGTTATAATCTTTCAAATTAAATCATAAAAACAACCAAGGTTTTTAGATACTATAGAATTTATTTAGTTTTCTTCATAACTTTACAATTGGATGTGTCATATTGATGACTAACAAATGTTATTTTTTTTGTTGAATGTATTGTAAAAATGTTCATTTTAACCAAAATTAGACCTTAGGTCTTTTAGAAGCTGGAGAGATTTTTCAATCAAAATGTTTCAACATCCAATGTGAATTATTGCATTTTCAAAAGAAAATAGTATTTTTATATTTATCTAATTAAGTTAAGATTATAAAAAAATTCTCTTATTGATATTTTTTTTAATAAATTATTCAAATTTTCAACCAAAATGTTCAATATATACAATATAATCCAAAGTACCAAAAAACCATGATCAAGAATTTTAAATTACAAAAGAAACGAAAAAAGAATTAAAAAATAAAAATAAAAAAAGAAGAGAAAAATAAAAAATATTTAAACAAATTTTCAATTTTCTTTTACTTGTTGATATTATTATTCATTGAATAATAGTTTTGTATAATTAAATAAAATTTTGAGATTTTTTATATGTTTAATGGAATACATTAAAATATTGTATCTTATAAATTACACATGTTATTAAATAAATATAATAATTCTATATGATTTTATTTATTTAAAAATAAAAATAAAATCTACAATCTCTTCAAAAGTATCTATATTAATAATTCTTTTGTCAAATTATTTAACCTCATTATTGCATGAGTTTGTTAGAATTTAAAAATCAACAATGTTAACATATTATTTGAGCTTAGCACACATTTCTTCAAACAACAAAATCTAGAATTAAATTTAAACATTAAAAAAGAAAAGCCAAAATCATGATAAGAAAAATATAATCCAAAATAACTTTTAGCCAAAGAAAAGATGTGTATATGATTTTTTATGAAAATAATGCAATCTTTAGCTTGGAATAGAAGAAACTAGTTTTTATGAAGTTGTTTGAAGAGATTAGAATAAACACATGAAATATTCAAAACATAAGGATATAAATATTTGAGATTCTAATTAGAAGCATAAGAAATATCATTTGAATAGAGAAATCTGTTTACTTCCTACAACAATAGATGAGATTTCAATAGGGGATTCAAACATAGCCTCTTTGAATGATATTTCACTCAAGATGAGATCTCAAAGTGTCTTGTGATATTTTGAAATATTATTTGATATTTTACCAAATCAAAATATTAAAAGAGGGGCCAGTGAAATATCAAAAGATGCATCCCTTGCCTTAAATCTCTTCCCTCTTTGACTCCATACCAAAGGAGTAATAAAATTTGAATCAAGGGTAGTATTAGAGGGTAATAAAATTTGAACTGTGATATTTAAGATTTGATATTTTGAGTGATCCTGAAAATATCATGTGCTGGATCCCAATTATTTTGTTTTGCAAAAGTGCCATGTTTGAACCATGTTCTGCAAAAGTGCCATGTTTGCATTTTCAGTTCATTGTGCTTGACTCTAGGTCCCCCTCGTCCACCAAATCAAACCATGCACACAGTACAAAAAAGTATCAAACTTGGCAGAGAAACAAACTTGCAAGTAAGAACTGGGGGTGCCTGCCCAGAATGGAGGATCTGATCTTATGAGTCCTGGTGGGAGTTGATTTGTTCCTCACACTCCAGATCCATCGGCACACATCAGTAAACAAAATCAGATCCTTCTCATCCATACCAGATCATCGCATGGATCAGTGCAGCTGGGCGTTGGAGGAGTAACGATCACAGGCCTACATTTTCCAGAGGAAATGGTTGACTTTGTGGGTGCCAATCGCCATGCGTAGAAATGGCCGTCGCGGATCAGCACCAAAAGTGATCAGTTTGCCGTCACCACCAAGCTTCTGGAGCTTCTTTAGTTGAGGCTCTTACTGGTGGTGGTGGAATCAGATTTCCAAGCTGCGGAGGAAGGCGACGGCAAAGTAGTCTCCTTTCGCACAGACACGTTTCTGATAGCGTTGCTGGGTGACAGCGTTGGCTTGTTGATCGTCTGCAAGACCTGAGTTCATCACAATCAGGGACGAGATGAAAGGGTGGCCGGCCAACATCAAGAGCTGGGGGATCGACAGTATTCTCAAGGAGGCTGCTAGGATTCTTTACAAACACTTCCGTCTGTTTCTGCCTTTCTTTGTCGCCATCGATCTCCCTTTGACGATAATCGGACTTTGCATGGGCGCACTCTTGCCTCCCCCGTCGCCAGGAACTCAGACCACTGACTCCACTGGGAGAGCCTCAAGCTTAATCACGAGCAATGCCCTTGTCCCTGCTCCTCAGGTGCGCACTTGTCTACAGGTTATCTTGTATGAGTGAAAGTTGTAGGTTTGATAAGGCGAGATGTTTGCGAGGTTGCAATGTGCAATACCATTAGAAATGAAGTCATCGTTGGCGAAGGTGGGGGTAGGATATAAGGTTTTCAGGTTTTCTTTTGCTAAGTTGAAGTTTACATGTGCCCGTCCGTTGGATTGGTTGGTTGTGTAGGAGGGAGCTCTCAGTCCTGATGCGAATTCCACGTGGCTGCTCGACTATTCGGTGTTAACTCTTGTAGAATGTTCTGTGTTCGAAAAACTTTTACTTGGAGCGTGGACATATGTTGTGGCGTACATTTACAGCGACAACTACATTGAAGCGGACCCGAATTCAATAGTGAAAAGAGTGTTCAAGCTACTACCGTCCGCATTATTCCGGATGGTGGTGACCGGTCTTTGGTTCTTTTTGCTTACATTCGTGGGCTGTCTTGTTACAATCGGTTTGTCAGTCGTTCTGATTCTCATCCAGGCTGGTGTAGGCCCACCCCCTCACAATCCCAATTGGATCTTCGTTATCACGTATACGCTGTTTGAAATTTTACTGTTCGTTTGTATACTCCATTTCGCGCTTTCAGATTCTGTTGCTGTATTTGAGCCACAGAATTACGGCCGAGAAGCTTTGTCTAAAAGCTTCAAGCTGGTGAAAGAAGGATCGGGAAGGCTCACCGCCTTTTCCATCTTGGTCCTAAAGGCGTTATCTGTAGCATTACTAAGCTTACCATTGCAACAATTTCAGCTAGGAGTTGCTGACGGAACTTTGCCTCTATGGAAGGAGCTACTCTATGGGTTCCTCCTCGTCATTGTGAGCTCTGCCATCACCACATATTTTGGAGTATGTTTAATTCTGGTTTACTTCGTGTGCAAATCTCGAGTCGGGGAGAGCACCATCAGCATCTGTGAGCATCTGTTCAGTTCGAGAAGTCTTGACGAATCACTTCTGCCTTGAAGCAAAGGGAAAGAGTAGAAGTGTGAAGAAGTTTCCCACCCCCAGCATGACCACGACCGTCAACAGCACTAGGCAATATCAAGACATGTGCAACTGCATCTTACCATGGCCAATACCGTAACTTGTGTAAAATCAGCATCTTCCTTCTCCTTTTTCCTCTTTTTTCCTCTTTTTTTTTTTTTTTTTTTTTTTCTCTTTTTTCCTTGTTATTTGTCTGAGACTCAGTTACACAGGTTCTCATGCCCTCACATCATCTGGAGAGTCCTTGGATGCTAGTCCTCTGAACTGCCAAAGGAATGATCATATAGACCACAGTTCAAGGAGGACGAAGTTGAAGGCTCTCAGTGATCCAAGTCAGAAGAATTGCTGTACAATTCAACGATGTAGTGTATTTTAAGCCTCGATAATTGCTCTACTCGAACACAGATCTTGATTGGATTGAAGGCCTGAAAAGTACGAATTATTGCCGGCCAGACATCAAGACAGCAATTATCTAAATACTCTGTATTAAGGGCCACGAGAGGAATTTCGCATGATTTTCAAACACTTATGAAGCATGACATGTTACGACTAGGATTCATCGAAAGTGCACTTCTTCAACTCATCACTGCTATAGAAGAGTCCTACATTCCTCCACACACACAACATGATGGTGCACTGATTTCCAATCAATACAACTCACCATTTTAACACCGGTAGCGCGATCGCCGCTGCTCCGCCCACAACCCCATGTCTTCGATTGAAGCGCCGCAAGTGACTAGGTGATTCCCAGCCTAGCCAATGGACTTCTTCTCATTGATTACTTCATCGATCGTGCATGCACCAGCAACGCAACTTAGCAACCAGCAACAATGAAGCATGTTGGCCCAGGCTATACCACACCTGTCTATCACTGTATCATTCCTCACCCAGTAGAGCGAATTCGGTTCACGCGCTTCCAGATAAAAAGAACCCGATGTAGAAGCCTGGCCACATATAATATGCCACATGACAGTTTCTGTTCACTGAAGGAACTTCGGACTCTCGGCAATGGAATTACAAAAAGTATCACCTGCAGTCACACATGTCAGGTGCAATCGCAATGAGCACGCCCATCATTGCAAGTCTCATGACAATGAACAAGAACATGACAAGTCGAGACTCCGAACAGTGCAAGTCTCGCAGACATATGTGATGCTTGCTTCAGGGTTGCATGTAGTGCGCCGAAATGGGTCCTCACAGCAGGACCTGGTAAGAGAGAAGCCGTCACTCATCCATTCTGTCTGCAATTGTAGCTCCGTTCTAGTTCTCACATCTACCTGATCATCTACACCTGTGGTCAGTCGGCGGAGATGTGATACGAAACTTCCCGTTGTAAAAGAAGGTGGATGTAATTCCTTACGTGCTTTCAGTTATTGCTTTAGTAATGATTAATCAACATTCATACTAAACCAATTATTGTGTCATGACAATGAATCATTGGAATAATAGAGTTCTAACATAATAATATGAAAATAATAGAGGTTGTCAGTCCCCGTGTAACACATTTTATTGACCTTGATATGAGGTGTTGGAGTCTACACGGTCTTGTTCATCTTGTTTCCCCATCAATCTGTGCTACAAATAGATCCCAATTGTTACAGGGAAGAGTAATATTTACGTTGTCATAGTTAGAAATATTCTAATAAAACAAAACTGTATACAATCTTTTTCATATGTTTTATTCGTATTATTATTTTTTTAACTAAATGAAATGTGAATAAAATGTAGTTATAACAAAATGTGGTTTAGGTTAAACAAAAATAAGTAGTCACAAATTTTTTTTACTTGTTCATATACAAGAAATGAGACCCAATTTTTTTGTAACTTACACAAATACAAAAGTAATTTATTACTTCTTTTCTTTTTTTTTTTTTTCTACACATAGAAGTTGTGATTCTAGATAATTTTTCTAGATTAATATCTTTAAATTCTTAATTTTTAAAAAACATTAAAGCTTAAAAGAAGTGATAAAAAAAAATAAACAAGAAGTATTTTTGGAATGATGATTATATTAAATGTTTTACAAATGAAATAAAAAAATCAAGTCATAAGTTAGAGATAGGTTTTATTTATTTTAACTTAATATTTGGGTGGTTTATCAATTTATAGCTATAAATCCTCTACAGTTTAATATGTTTAGTATGTTTAAATATCTAAAATAAACTTATGATATAAAGAATTTTGTAAAAAAAATAACAATACATTTTTTTAAAGAAGTATATATATTATATACAATATAGAGTAGAAAAGGATTCACTTAATTGGCCCTTGCATTTTCTACATTCAAAAAAAATTTCTATATATTTAAAAAAGAAATCAACAACTTCTGACATTAATTGTGAAGAATTAGAAAAACCCTCCAATTTTTTTTTTGTAGGACCTTTTTTATTATTATTATGTTCATTAACAAACCATATATATATATATATATATATATATATATATTTGTGTATATATGTGTGTGTGTGTGTGTGTGTATATATATATGTGTATATATTTAGTAATAATAACTTAAGTTATAACCAACATCTATTCCAACTTTTTATTAATTTTAAAGAACGGTTTAGCCCCCAAATGTAAATAGATCATTATTTTTATGTTCAATTTGCTTAGTTTTTTTATAATATATGTATTTTTTATGTCCTTGTTTATTTCTCTTAGAAAATCATTAATAGAATAAATAAACAAATACAATGATGTGTTACCATCAATGCCCAATCAAAATATTGTGCACAAAATCAGTGCCACGACTTTTGACTGCCACTGTACTTACATCAAAATTATAGCCACGGCCCAAGATTCACATGATTCATGCTTTTTCTAGAAAAGATGAATCAACCCACTTAAGTACCGCAAAATACTTTACATGATAAACAAATAAAATTATAAAAATATATATTGTACACTGTCCCTTAATGTACAAGCTCATCATATGTACAGGACACGCTGAAAAAAAAAAGGGGGGGGTAGAGATAAAAAAAAAAAAAATGAAAAAATACTACAAAACTAAAAAAAACTGCCTTCATGAATCACCGATTCTAGGACTCGCGGCCAACACTGCCGCCACCAGCCGGTACCGCTGCTTGTGGCTCGGCCTCGACAGCACGGAGCTGCCGCTGCCGCTATTTCTGTTGCTTAGGATGGCGACGTCGACAGAAGCGGACGGCCGAAGGAATTCTTCGTCGACAGCTTCATCTGAAGGAGATTTAGAAGACGACGTGGACGCCGACGACGGCGATGACGTTCGTCGACGAGCACTGGCGAGACGCCGGCTGTCGGTTGACAAACTGACGAGGGCGCTGGCGGCGTGCAAAACCATATCAGCTTCATCGTCGCCGGGGACTCCTCCAGCTTCGCCCTTCGGATGCGACGACTTCCGGGACGTGACGGGGAGACCGAAATCCTGCGTCGTCGCGGTGGACGTTGTGCGTATGGGCGTCGTGTCGTCGACCTCTGGGTAGGTGTCTGATTCGGCCATCGTTGTGTGGTCGTCACCACCCCTCGCGATGCTGCTGGTTCTTTTAAGCCTTTTCTGACATTGGCTTGTGCAGTCATCTGCGCTCCATCCTCGATCTTCGGAGACGGTGCAATCGTCGATCTTCCGAGGTTCCGTCGACAATTTCCAGTCGCCGTACCTTCCGAGCGCTGCCGCTTGCGAACCTGAACTGTCCCAAACTCGACGTGAATCCACCGAGGAAGTAGATCCCCCGCCCTCGGCTGAGTTGCATTGCTGCGGTCGAGAGTTCAGACACAAGTCGCGGTAAGGTGTGTGCGGCGCCATGGAGGAAGTAGTGCAGTCCAGGGGGTTGTCGGAGATGCAAAACCCGTCTGTTGCTGAGGAAGATGGTATCGAAAGCCTCGGAACCTTTCGCAAGTTTCGTCTAGCCTCCAGATCCCATTCCGCGACCAACTCTTTCGATTTCTTCATCCCGGTGTTAAAGAATGTGCGATGTAGGTGAGCACACTGAGAATCGAACCTCACAAGGTCCGTCACCGCACCCTGAGTTGGTCAAAGCGAAACACACTGGTCGATCAGCTATGGCCAGCGTTCTCTCTAATGTATCCTATGGTGACGACTGTGTTCGAAACAGTGGTGGATTTCGCTTGCGATGTGACCAATTCTCAAGCAGACTCACAGGTTTTCTAAATCTCCACCGTATTTTTCAAGCTCCTATAAGAAAATAGAATATTTGTCAATCAACGCGCTTGGGATACCCCCGTCACATCTCATCGTCTTCCCTAGGATAGTCGGCTACAAGTCCCTAAAAATGGAATGTCTACGAACGAAACAGTAAAAGTCTCATTCCACTGGTTCCAACACTAAAATAAGTAAATCTAGAGTCATGTGCCCTAGTCCTGAATTCAACCAAGTTCTCACATGTGCTGCTTCACCGGGTTGACACCAGGAATAACCACCTGTAGTCATGTGGACTACCTAGGTTCATCCACACCACGTGAGTAAATTAGTCGACGCGCCACCCCTAATCCCGCATTCGGAAATATTCATGTGTTGGGTTCTTATCAACATGAGTGTTCAGGTATTTGTCGATATAAATATTACGAGAAGGGAAAAAATGCTGAGCATGTTAAGGAATTTGTGACGTATACAATCAAACGGTTCATCTCTAGTGTGTTTGTTGACGTCTGTACCTGCTTCTTGCGGGACTGGTATGCTGCTGATAGGAATCACAATCCATGCTCCGAAACTTCATCAAAGGGGACAATGAGGTCATCTATGGGTAGACCATGCGCTAAGGTCGTTCTGACACTCAAATGTCCCCAATGGCAGCCTCGTCTACAGCTTTCTCTTTATACTTCGAACTAGCTTTTGATCTCCTCCAGGTCCGAACAGACATATTTGCAACTCGTCGGCAACTCGACTCGTAAACGAATTCGATATGTTAGACTTGGAGAAAACTGCAAGCTTCGAGACTCATCATTTTCTATCCCATCCGCCCTCCCATCGATATTCCATTCTTCTTTCAATCTGTTGGTCCTCCTCACATGATCTGTAACTCGACAACGTTCGGAAGGTTGATATGAGCGCTCTGACTACTGAATTAGTCAGAAATCACTCGTTCAGAATCTATACCTATTCACCTAGTAAACGAATGTGACTGTACTGTTACTCTCTATACTGATTGGCTCTCCTTGAAGCTGAGAGAACGTCCTAATGGGATGCGTCGGAAAATGTATTAACTTGAAGACTAGTATTCGAACGCAACATGTGTGTCGACGGATCCCTCTGCATGTATGAGTAACTTCTCATTAGCCCTGAGTTCAAATTTGCACGTATCGTACACTGTAAAGGGTCGGAGCCTGTCACTTTTAGTTATAAGACGTCCAAGTATTCCACTGTAATTATTGGTGCACTAGTTCCCGCCGCTAACGCAACGCAGCCAGACGCAATGTGGCGATGGAATACACTCATCTTTCTTGGACATAATCACTTCAGCCTACTGCGACGCACGCAACTTAGGGTTAGCTGAAAGCTGTGGTAACCAGTCGATTACAATATTGAATCAGTCGATACCACATGTCCATTAAATATGAACCCCGGGTCCTCCTAAAGAAGTTGATACAAGCATAGCAGAACGCCATTTAGATTTGCTGGACTAGGATCACCGTATAAATACAGCAAGTGATAACCACGACTCTCCGACTAAATTCTAGTTTACTGCACAATGTGATGACATGTAGTTTGTGACGATTACTCAATCCAAGAGTGCCGAGCCGCAATCAGTTCTACAAGGGGACGGTGTTGCATCCGGAGATTCGGGTCCATGACCACATTGCTCACGCATGTCTATTCAACCACGTTTCTCCGACTATGCGTGCAACACGCAGCTACAAACTTGCTTCTTTCTCTTCCATAATATGGGCCAGAAAACAAGTTAACAACATCTACCATCAAGATTCACACACAGGGAAGAACTGGAAGGACGCCAAGGCACGCACCTCAATGGACTTGCACACCGGGTCCAGCCACATTCATTGTTCCGAAGCGGGTTCCAAAGCGACGTAGCACACGCGAGCTTCTTTACATTCATCAACCCTGAACAACAATCTTCGAGGCTTCAAGACTGCACATTAATCTCATTCACCAAGTGTGCGTATTAAGACATGCTCTCCACAAACACCACCCAAGTTTTTCACTACAAACGTCGAACAAAGACACTACACCCAGGTCTATCCGAGCAACTGCACGACAGGAAAGACTCAGAGATTTGCACTATCGATGGTACGTGATCTGAGGTTACAGTGTGCAGATAAAGACGGATCTACATATAATGACCACATGTAAGGTGAATCGAAACCACTGAGATCATACTATTTCACTACTAGCGTAAAACCTAAAGGTACCACCACGATTACTCCAGGTTCAGAGCCTTTAAATGCGCCATCGCGCACAGGCGCGAATTTCTGGTGTTTCCGGGTGGGGGTTCACAGCCTCGTCCACTGCGTGCGTGTTTCGAGAACGTGCGTCTGTTTGTCAGAGGCCGCGGCGTGGCAACATGCATCAAACCGAGAGATCTTTGGCCACCACGAGGGCTGGCGTGCCAGGGCACAGAGGGTAAGTAGTAATGGACGGAGCAGTGGAACCCTCTCACCGCAACCCATTTGGCCCCTAGTCATCCTTCGTACGTTCGAGAGGTGACAGCTGTCGTGTTCGGCAAGCTGAAATATCAGCCCGACAGATATTTCCTAGGCTTCAATTTAGTTTTGGCACCCAGAGTGCTCAGAGCTTCACTTTTACTTTCACGTTGTGCTCACCTCAAGAGCTGTGTGGACTTGTTGAAAATTCTCCTCACCTGAACAAGTTGCTTAAGTACAGTTCAAGGGGAGAGAGGGACACACAAGAAGCACGGTGTGTGCAGAATAGCACCCTTTTCTTTGATATCAAGGATTCAAAATTACACGATGGGATTCATCAAAACTCCCCGTGGGATATGCTCACTATGATTCGACAAAAACCTTCTCTCGTGCCGTGTCTACCATTATGTACATTGAAGAGGCTATCCAAAGTGCTTTGTAATCTGTACAATTTTAAAAACTTGTATGGCCTAGACTCGTCTGAGAAATGAAGCCTGCGCCATTACTTCTGCCATGGACCTGTAACGCTGCTTATTAATTGGTCTTAAAAGCACGGATCCCGAGCCCAGTGACTTGGCTGTTGCATTCGAACCCCCAGTCAAGTCACTGCCAGCTGGGCTTGGTGAGCTGCACTGTCGTCCTTCGTTAAGCACTTCGTCCGACAGAGTTTCTGAACAACTATTTCCATTGTGCTCGGTGGAGGCCTTCAGAGAGTCAGGTTGACGAAAATCGTCAGACGAGAAGCAGGACAAGTCTCGTTTTCGCTTCTCACTCGAGAGCATCACGAGTGCACGGACGGCGCCAGTTTCTTCGTCTTCATCTTTCCGATGCACCTTCGCCTCACCTCGCATCGAAGATGTAAGCGTCTTCGTAACGTATGGTTGTTGAGCAATATCTGCAGTATCTGTGGTCCTCGATTTGACCACCGGAGCTGGGATGTGGCCACTCGTATATTCCGATAGCCTTTTCAGCCTCTTCCAAGATGGGATGCCAAGCCTATCATCAGGATGACATGGCTTCTCCAGAAATACAGGTTTCCGTATATCGACGCTTTGGTCATCGTCACTAATTTCAAACCGATGACCGTCGTCGAGCCTTAAGACTTTCGAAGCTTTAGAATCTCGAAGAGGGCCCAGGTCCACGGCCAACCTTGCTCTCCCTCGCCCACCACCTTCATCTGCACACAAACTAATTTTCTGTTGTGTTGGGCTGGAGAACGAGTCCGTATCGGTTATGAAATCTCTTGACATTGTCGCCATTTTTGAAGACTCGTCCGAGGGAACATAGGTGGTGGAATCCGCGCTGCCTGTGGTCCAAGTTGGTGACAAAACTGGCGAAGTTGTTGATATAGTTGGTAACTTGTTTAGATCGAAAAGACGTAACGTCTTCGGCGGTTTAGTCACTGGAGTCTTGGTGAGCTGATACTGAGTAGATGGAGACCTGCGTCCAAAATCCGCTGGAAATAGTTAGAAAACCTATTCTCCAACTTTTAAAAGCTCTTCACAAAGACTATTTATATTCGAAATACTAGGGTTAGGAAGAGATTGCGAACACCCGATCGGCGTGATTATTCTAAACTACTCATGCCCCAAAATATCTCTAGCGAATAATAATTCTCTATTTAAGCTTCGGGAATAACGCCGCGCCTACTGTCATACACAACACGACCTCCCGAGACGGCACACCCAACTTTTGCAATCACAAAAGCCTAAGTTTTCCTGATCCATTCTACTTCATAATGTTCCGAGAGCCGGCAGATGCCTACTCCATGTTGAACCTAATTAGTTTTGTGGAGCTGCGCGAGATTAAAATAAAATACAAAAAATTCTCCTTTATCGCAAAACTGGCCTTCAAATATTATCAATATCCCTTCATTCGAGTGCCAACCTTAATACTATTCCACCATGTCCATCACCAAATAGAGCACCGCTCCAGGTTGACACTGTCGCAGTGCCAATGAGGTCAAGTTCATGGGCGGCCAAGATCAACATTTAAAATCCAGCTTGACAGCAATGGCCGAGGAAAAGTACCAATCACGTGATTGTCATCGGTATCAATTGTGACTTGGGCGACACGTCTCCGAGGAAGAAAACACCTAACTAAACCTCGCTTTTCGAGGCATGAAACCAGAAGAGAACTGAATAAAAAGATCATACCAAACCCTTGATCACCTAAGTGGTTCGGGTTTCGTAATGTCAATGTCCATATCGGTTCACGCATAGTAACAAACAGCGATCACATGCACTAAGATACACCTCCATGCCCCAAGGATTGAGCCCAGATAAAACTTGCCGCTTTCTCATGGTATTCACAGTGCTGAATGTTTTCATGATAAAAGCTGGACAAGGTAGCTTAAAAGACAGACAAGGCACTGGACTAAAACACAAAGCTCCTTTTCAACTTGAAGATTGACCAACTGCAACGGCTACCCAAGGAAAAGTTCGTGTGAAAGACGTACTTCACAAAAACATCGCAATGTTTGCTTCCGCTAATATTCCAGTGCGGCGCTGCCAGTTGATCTTCCGGTTGACGAACCATCAATCTGCGTCGAACTAAACCTGGCCTTAATTCCAAATCACCTGGCCTGTGCAAGTCGACACCGTTTCTCTCCATCATGTCTACACTAGGTTTCCTCTTTCCTTCAGAGCCTTGAAAACTATGTAGAATGCAAGTTAACTTCATCCACGTTTGGCCATACATGGAACCAACGCCGCTGGAGTGAGCAGTATCAATTACCATCTTTTGAAATGTTGCTATGGTTCACATTCTAGAAGCGCCAATAACTGTGGATCACTTGAACATAATGCCGCAACTCTCCCCAGGTTCAACTTGATTCTAAAAATGCATTGACAACTTGATATCCGTGATTAGCGACAATGGAAATGTCTGCAGGTCCTTTACAAATCTGGTCCGAAGCCTCAGTTCATGAGTGCGTCAAGGGAATCAACTGCAAATACGCTCAATCATCCAAAGTGAACAAAATCGCGACAACTTCAACATACGCAACGTCTCCCGAAATGGCGGCGTTTTCCAACCAAAGCTAGTTAGAGCTGGTAAACAATGCGAACCTGGACCAAGTCTCTTAATGCTGTAAAGGTTGGAGAGCAGTCTGATTGCGTATTTCCACAGAATGCTCTACGAACAGTGCATGTAATCTCTTCTAAAAGCCTCTCTGGCTCGACTTTTCGTTTCTTCTCCCTAAGTTGTCCAAAGTAGCCACAGCCAGGTTCAGGCTCATTACGCTCCTATCCGTTGCTACGGTAGATTAAGCTTGCATCAAGTTCGCCAAGCTCTGCAGATATGAATAAGAGCAGGTACCTTCGAAAATGACGATTCTCTCAAGTCAATGCAGACCTATGATACAAAAATTTCTAGCGTCTGCGGTAACGGTAACTGCACCAAGTCGACTCGTGACGTGAATGCAAACTTATCAGACATGTACAGGCTAGTCACCTTCCCCCAAGTTCGCCTATGTCGTCTCCAACACTCAAAATTGCTACCTTCACGCAGGAAAAGCAGCCTCGCGTCATCTGAGAACCGTAGTGGTGGCGAGCAAACTGCAAAAACGCACTCTCATAGACTTAATACTACAAGCTCCGACAAAGTTCGCTCAATACAGCTTACAAGGCTCCGTGTCCGCTACTACGTTGCTTTCACGAGACAATCACACCCGACAATCAGCTACAAACTATCATAATTAGAACACGAAAAGCTAGTCGTTCCTTGCAAATCCAACAAGGGCTACATAAAGAGAGCAAGGTTGAAAAGGCTCGCTCAGATATTGCACAACTTGAGATGATGTGCAGCGCCTATGAGTGCACTAGCGCGAGGTGTACCGGCACTATGGCTGCACAAAGTGAGTGTCTAAGTGAGAGTTTACAGGAAATCTGAGACCCAACCACCAGGCTGGAGTACAATACGCACCAAAAGTCTAAAACCAGTAAGCTCTCAGCGACTCCCTTGCAACCCAAAAACCTACCTATCCATCTTCAATGTCATACTATCCGTACTCGGTTGAGGGATCGAGAACAGACTGGATGGGCGACGATGTTGGGAAGGGGCACGGCGGCGATCGGTTGGGAACAGATTTTGAGTTGGACCAAGGAAGGGGAGGGCATGAGTTCCTTTCAAGCAAGGAGGATTGGCGCTGGTGGAGGGAATTAGCGGTGTGGGTACCTCCTTACAGCGTAACATATTAAACTCAATATTATCACTGACAATGCTGTGTCCGACATTGGCCCAATCTAGAAGGTAACAGAAAATCTAGGTCTGTCTGCCCTGTTGCCTTGGCCATCTTTCACTTTAATCCCTGAAATCCCATGATTCATCAGAGGGTAGAGAGGGTGGGTTCTCACTTCGTCCTTTTCCTAACTTGGTTGAAAAGGAGAGCCGATCTTAACATTCACTTGCACATAATGGGCCAATGCCATCCAACATTAACGCGGCAACCTAAATTTTGACTACCAGTAAAATTGGAACAACTGCCGCTAAACTTCCAAATTAGCAAAGCAATCTGGACCTGGTTTCTCATGTACGAGGTTGTCCAATGAACCAGCTGTCTGACAATGTAAAAAGGGGGTAAAAACATGCAGTCCCTCTCGACCGTCTTTGAGAAAGGGGGGGGGGGTAATGACGAAAATTCCTGGTTGGTCCTGATTGTCTGACACTACGGCACACAGTGGTTCCCCTCATGCCTCAGCGATTCACTTCCTCGTCCATGGGATCATTTTCATTCAGGTGGAAATTAAAACCCCCCCTAGCATCAGGACTCCCGAGCCTAGGAGTCATGAAGATGGCATTGCCGCGAAATCAGCCCCACCCCACCCCCCAGCTTACCGTGTGTTCTGAAGGTCCGGCATCTTCAGAAGATGACGGACCCGATATCTCCCTCCAAAGCCTTGTTGTTTGCTTGCTTCAACGTTGGTTCTCCCGGGATAATAAATCATTACAGCGGCCATCTCGAGGAAAAACAATACTCCTGGCACTTCGTGGACATGGTCAAAAACGTTGGACATATTCTGCACCTGTGCTGCAAGGGGTCGTAGAGCCCTACTACATGGGCAGGGAGAGCAAGCGCGAGAGGAGAGCGAGGATTTTGTACTCCACTACGCAAAGCACCAGGCCCCGCTCCCTCCCTCCCTCCGAAGACCCAGACTAGTGCAGATGCTGTACATAAGAACACTTGTATTTATCTAAATGTGGCATGAAAAGCGACTGACCTGGCCTTGTGGGTAGAATTCGTGGATAAGTGTGTCAAGAATGGGCCCCACTCGCAGCTATTCTGGGGCCCTTGCTCCGCAGAATCGCATCCACTGGTGATGTGTAGATTGTACCACCGATAGCACAGTATCGATTTGCTGATTCGGTGAGAAATGCTTGCCATCTTCCACGTTGCTTACTTTAGTTACCTTCCTTTGATAAAACATGCTTTGCTTACATGGGTGATGAGCGAGGCCCTCTCTCTCTCTGTGTCTCGGAATTGCTGCATAGACTTGTAGTCATCTGTTCTGTGCGACAACTGGAAAACTGGGACTATCTCTGCTGGTTGTCACACACTTCAGGTGATACAACTTGTGGCATCCTTTGCCATTCAGCACCGAAGACTGGTAAATTGCCCATTTACAGAAGTAAAAGTAGAAGAAGAAGTGATCTCGTTTGAAGTTTGTTAAGTTGGTTTAAGTTTTCTGATATCATTCATAGACTTCACTCTTTTAAACGGAATACTCGTTTGAGTTATTGTTGTATGATGCATACATATGTAATGCAGAAACGTAAGCCATTGAGTGCAAAAAATAAAATCAATCAATCAATCAAACAAACTTCAGTCAAGCTCCCATTTTAAATCACTGTAAGTTCCTAAGTTTTAAGTTTCTGAAATCTAAAAATTTAAGAAGATTAAAGACTGATGTTTTTAAAATCTCAAATCAACGATGGTGCATCTAAAACATTCTACAATTTATTTGGAATATAACAGACGAAGCGTCATATAAACAAGAACATATAAATATATCTGTAACATAGTGAAATATGTGAATTTTTAGTTTCTCCTCACAATGGTTTTAAATATGTTTCCTTTCATTGAAGTTTCATTTTTGTATTTTATAACGAAATAAAATGAAATAATTCCAAGAATACTGCCTGTCAAGAAGGTATGTATAATTTTTTTTTTGTTTGTGTGTACATATATATATATATATATATATACACTTCATAGTGAAAGACATAAAACCTCAAAAATATGATTGTATTTGATACCTGTTGTAGATAAATTTATTCAAACCCATAGATAATTTGATGTTTCTTCTTTTGAAAATAAAAATCAAAGGTTTCGTCATTTATAAAATTCATAATAGAAGTAATAGATGTAACTGAAGTTATTTGCTATTCATTAAAAAAAGCAGTATTATGACAGATTTTAAATTATTCTTTAATCCAATTTTTGCAACTCCTTTGTAATATGTTCTTAACAATCTTCTTCATGTTTTCATAATGAAAATCTAGATTAACACTTGGATAGAAAAGTGAACTATTACTAAATAAAACATCAAAACAGATTTATTCACAGTCATTACCAAACTCAAGAATATTGTCATGTGTATATATTTTTAGTTTTTGAATCATACAAAGGTTCTCCTCGTGAAAATCACAATGTATGTGACATTTACTGAAGTATTCGGCATTGTGTAAAATTATATAATAAAAATATGAATACCCACAATGCCATGTTTTCAATTTCGACAGTTCTGGTCTATCACTAGCATATTTAGTGACCAAAACACCGCTTTCACCATTTGTTTAAAGAGATCAATTTTAGAATCTAAAGAAAACCATACGTTGCAGAACACATAAAATTTAGACACTACAGAAACTGTCCCCATAATTTTTACAAACGAAAAAGGAATAAAAAATAACAATAAAAGAACAAAATCACAATCAAGAACCATTGGATTTCTTGCCTACTACAGTAAAGCGGTGGCTAGGAGAGTGCAATGAAATACATCTGTGCTGTTACATTGAACCCACACGAAAACACACACAAAAGAGGTAATAAATAATCCAATCACCTCTTCAGTTCTGTTACAAAATAACACTCCCCTCCCCCCTGGAACAACAATCATCAGAAAAGCTAACGCAGATCAGATGAAAAGCCAAAAGCATTTAGTATGTGGCTGTCCCAACTCCCGAGGTGACTGGAACCCGAAAATCTGTGCAGTGCGTTGTCGCCGTATCGTGGAGATTAACATAAGCGGAGCGAATGATTTAAGGTGGGAAAATAGGTTAATCTGGCGAGGGGAGGGAAGGGTCTGACATGTCTGACGCAGCTATGAGAGATTCTTGGGCATCCTTCCGGTTTACTATATTTACATATTTATATTTATGTAATCGATGAGTTTGTGTGAGTGTGTGTGAGTGTGGCCGTCTGTGAGAAAGAGTGTTTCGGTGATGGACACGAGGCACATCTGGTATCGAATCAAAGCAAAGGGTAGTGGTTGCCGCAGCGCGATGTTTCGTGTTTCCTCCGCCTGGCTGAGACAACTTGCCAATCAAAGCCCCGATCTAGACTCTACACGTCCCAGTCTGCAGGGGCTCCTGTAAACCATGAGGTTGCTTCCACAAATGTTCAAGTTGCTGTCAGCCCCTAGTGGGATCGACCCACTTGATTTGCGCACAAAGGGGGATTCCCACAGGGCAGAGAGACACTCTAGAGAATGTTCTTCCAAGCGAGATGTGTGTGTTGCTGCACGTACTGCTCGGTTTCCGCGAAGGGGGAATATTCAATTCGTCACTTCCATGCACTCGTCGCACCTTGTTGTTGCTGTTGCTGCTCTTCTTCTATCTGTAGCGTCCAGGCGTGAAGGAGACGCCTGCTTGCGTCTGTAGTCGCCGGCTCCATGCGAGGAGCCCACTCCGATGTGGAGTCCTCCGGGGTCCTCTCCCTTGAAAACCCAACCTACCAGGCATAGGACGACAGCTTTCAATCGGAGCGGTTGGCACAGGGCACGGCATACCCACCGATCGTTCTAGATTCTCGGGCCTGCGATCCCCTACAACGACCCAACTGATCCTTGATCCGCTCCACTCATCTAATAACGTCCGCGCCCTTCTTTTTTTTTTTTTTTTTTTTTTTTTTTTTCCTACACAAAAAACAGACGCAACAAATGGGTAACTGAACATGCGTGTGTTATGCAACTGCTCGGATCGTCACTGAAGCCACTTGCTGTTGGGGAATCGGAAGTAGAATGGAGTGAGTGAGAATCAGTGTCTTGTGAGGATTGTCATCCGTCTGTCTGTCTGTCTGTGAGTTTCTGTGTGTCTCTGTGTCTCTGTGTTGTTGTATGTTGATGTTTGTTGATTTACCGCACATGACAGGGAACTAGTAACCATGATCCAATGTGGATCTCAAGCCCTGAGCATGAGATCAGTAGAGAGAAGAGACTGCAACGGCCAAGTTCCACTTCCTACCGCACGACAAACATCACAAATCCTACACCTGCAGAGATGCACCGATTCCCACCTCTCTTGCTGCTTTACAGTAGTTTCCATTTTTATTTATTTATTTATTTATTTTTTGTTATTTTTTGTTTTGATGTTCGTGATTATGAATAAAATCTGTACAATTGAAGATGGTAAAGTGGTGAGTGACCTTCCTTAACCTGTTATTAGTTTGTTGTATGAGTGATTTGTTTGTTTTGCCACTATTACTAGAGCCATTGTTGTGGATTATTAGTCTTGCACAAATGTTGTTATGGATTGATCTATCTATTTTTTTTAATGAATTAGTGACTTTGTTGATATATTTCCAAATTTGCTTTTGAATCACTAATTTAATAGAGTTTTACATAAATCCATTATATAATGCCAACAAGTTATGTTTCTAAAAGTATTCTTAGAATAAAGAATTTGATAAAACAAGAATTAGAAAAGTATATACAATTTTTATGATTTTAATCTAAGATATTTTTATAAAATATCTATAAGAATTATCTTTATAAATCATCTTTAATATCTTATTATAATTAAAGAATTAATTGTAAAACTATTTTTTCATCTAAATGTATTTCTTTAGTATTTAATTAAACATGAGAATCTTTAGATAAAGCTTCTTAGAATAAATATACAATAATTTTTCAAAAATAATTTATTTTGATTAATTTATAATTATATATCTTTTTGATATTATAAAAATATTAGATTA